GGGGTGGCGGCAGCCTGGCTGGGGAGTCGTTCGCTCATGTGCAGCGGCTGCTGAGAGGCGGAGTCGGAGAGTCCGAGAGCAGAGGTTGCTCTCAGCCGGTCGAAAGTGTCTGTTGGCTTAGGACCGTTAAATGTCCATAGATGCAATTACTGTAAACAGAAAAAGTAGTAAACTACTGTTTTTGTCACTAAATTTTTTTTTATACGTAAAGCACCAATAGATTGTTTATAAAAACTAGGCAGCATCATCCACAGACTTTTAAAGAAAACTGCAGATGGTCCTGTCCCTGCAGAAGGTGTCCCTTGTAATAGAAAAACAACAATCATATAGTAAGTACAATTTTTGTGTAATTCAATGTGCAGTTATGTTACTTCTTACTCTGTAAACATTTAGTTCACTTAAAACATCAAACTATCAACAATCAAAGTGATTCCCCACAGGTACTCACCCTGCAACCACATCCTACAACATAAATATCTCAATCCACTTTATACATACATTGCATGGATGCAACAGGTCATCAAGTTTTTTAGTGATCCATTTGACATTTTTCCAACATCTTTGTTGATACCAATAAGTATATAATTTCTTCCTTCCTTTCCCCATCCGTTTACTGACCAAAAATGTGTCTGTCTGTCTGAAGAAAATATGAATGATGTGTAATTAAAGTACTTGATGTATTTTTCATAAATGATTCTTCTATATTCTGAGAGATTTTTTTATCACAAGAAACTAACAAAGTTATCCTAAAAAAAATCATTGCTGTGCTGCCATTGCAGCAGCGCAATTAAACAACAGAGCGTGACATCACTTACCTAACTAACGATCACAGCTCAGTTATAAAGCCCCTGTAAATGCAATTGTAAGTATAATATCACTGCTTGCTGCCAGGTGCTGGCTATGGAAAACAATGGCCGCAGCAAAGGTCTACTCAAAAAGCTTCAGCTTCTCGAGTGAATTTAAGAGAAAAGATACAGGACTTTTGGATTCATTTAGAAAGTATCAAAATATTTTATTTAGATTTCGATTGTCTGGTAAAACAATTACATATTTAAAAATTATCTATGTTCAGTTCAGTATTCTCTGCCCCTGAAAGAGCTCAGATAGAGAAAAAAAAACAATGAACGCCCTAGGCTTTGCCTTTGGGGCTAAAGCTAAACTTTTGACTCTAATAATTAGAATACATTTCAGAATCTAGTTCTGCCAACTCTGCATTTGAGAAATGGCAGTCGTTATGTAGTGAGAACGTTGATGGTTGCAAATAAAATAATTTTCAGCAAAAAATTAAAAAAAAAAGTTAAAAAACAAAAACATAGGAGTTGGCCGAGGTAACAGCTATTTGGTTCTACTCTTTAAACACGTTTAAAAACACCTTTATGAAAGTTATGAAGGTCATCGCATCATCAAAGGACTTTTATTGTTGGCACAGAAAAAGAGGAGGCAATTTCCTTTCCTTTACAATGTAATTTTCTATTTTTCATTGGCAAATGCATCTCACGATAACACAGTTTATGAAATTAAATATTTATAAGTGCAAACGAAGCAGAATCCAGCAAACACATGGAGATGAGAGAAAGAGTGAAGGTGAGGAAGATGGTTAGGATATTGTTTTTCAGCTCGTAGCAAGTAGAGCCAAAAATAAAGGGATACATTAAGAATATATATGAGGGAGACTTTGTCTGTTAACACAGATCCTCTTTATCATAGCACAGCAACTGTGAGCTGATAGACTTCCTCGTCTCAAACAAAGCCCTTGTTTTCAAATCCTAGCCTTAACCTGCGGGCTTGTGATTTGGGATGTGTTCAGGTATCTGACATTTCCAGCTCTCATAACAATCATTCACATGCTGCCTTATCGAGCCAAAACCCCACACAGATTCAAAGTCCAGGAAGTAAGCTGACAGTATTGTCAGATGTGTCAAACCTTTGCCTAAGATTTTCACTCCATTGCTCCTGCAGAAGCTTGTTGTCCTCATATACCTCCCTCTCACTGCCTCCTGTAGCACCTTGGGTTTTTTTTTATCTGTCTCTAATGTAATTAGTTCACGTGCACTTTTCGTGAACTTTACAAGTTTGGAAGGTAGTGGTTGTGTTTTTAGTTTAGCTTCATTAACAAAAATAAATGTTTTAGCAGTAGGATTTTTAAGCCAATGTTAAATGGACTTGAACCATCACCCCTGTCATTGTCACTTATCTCATAACACGGCACTGACTCACTAATTATGAAAAACAAATACGTATGCTCAGATGCTGTAATCACTTTTTGGTGGCCAGTCTGTGCAAACATCGGCTCATCTATATTACTGATTGACAGAGAGTGTTCCATAATCACCCTCATCATTTAGTTTAGGCTATCAATAAACAGCTCAGACCTCATTACCAACCGGCCAACAAATGCACTCATTAGGGTATATTAAAATTAATATGAACGTTATTACTCACTAAATTGCTGCAGGAACCCAATTATTGGATACATTTGACGAATTATTCCGAGGCAATGGGATAATCTGATTTACTGAGGGAGCTGGAGGATAGAGCAACCTTCAGTGACTTTGCCCGTGGCTGATTGGTGACATGAGAGCGAGAGTGTAAGATTCACCTAGCGATGCTGCCAGATGATTGTATAATAGGAGCAAAACAACGGATAGGGAGACAGGAAGCAACACTGACAACACAATAGTAAGGAGAGCTGCCCAGAAGAGCCCGAGGCAAAAGGCAGAATGCAGCAGTAAATGAGACAACATCTCAGACTTGATGTGGTTAAAATAGAAAGGAAATCCAAATTATATATCAGTATAACGTTTCTTAAATGTTGAAGGTGTTACCTCATATAAATTATTATAACATCAAAGCTGAGTGGCTGTTGCCGAAACGATGGAATCCGCTAAGACACTGAAGGCTTTTTCAAAGTCATTTTATTTAATGAGTGTGTAAAACGACAGGGGTGGAGGGGGGGACTGATGACATGCCCTTGTTGTGTCAGATCTCATGGAGATAGCTGGGTAATGCCCAGGGCCCTGAAGGACTGGCAGACACAGTTTGGCCCTACTGGGAGTCTCTTGACATTCATCTGGCTTTTTATGTCTAGCTGTGGAGGACATCATGATTACTCACTAGAGAGGAGGGTGTGTGTGTGTGTGTGTCTGTCAGAGAACCAGGAGGGAGGAGACAGTGATGCCAGGTAGTTTCAGCCACTGTTGCTGGTTATCATTATAAAAAATGATTATGCCTATTCTGAACATTCTGGTGCCACAACCCAACTTTTTATCCATGTATATGTATCTCTCCACATCTGCTTTGTACCGCTCCAAATTCGTTAGTTGAATAATTATTCAATTACGCGATCAATGGCGCCTCCCTTTTGACATCATTTACCAATGCTGACGTCTTGGCGGCTGTGCAGAGACATTAGATAGGCATCGACAATTGAATCAGGCCGGGATGGAAAAGGAAGCTTGTGGGTGTGGGAGACTGTCAATCTATAAGACCCAGTCTGGGGCTCAAATAAGCAACAGATATTGATTTGGTATTACAGAGCTGAATAACAGTTTGATTGAGAAATGCATAAAGCATCAGGGGTTACTTTCCAAAACCTTCTGTTTGTGGTTAGAAACCCTTTGAAAACTCCCCAGTATGTCTGATGAACATTTTTTCTGATTGGCTCTTTTCAGACACAGGGTTATGGCCTGGTAAGTTGGTATTTGCCAAAATGACCCGAACATAGAGTCGAATACAAATCAAGACGTAAACCAAAATCTCTGCTCAACGTGTCCTAAAAGACTCACTTTAACAAATTAGCTGGACACAAATAAAGATCAGCACTGTTCCCTTAATGTAATAAAGCATGATATCATAAGGGTTGAAGGCAGATTTTTTTATTGTAGTTTTGATTGATGCACCATGTCAGTACAATATATTACCTATGACACGACATTCTATTAGATATTATAAGATGTGTGAAAGTAATCTCATTTTACAATTTCAAGCGAAAGTTTCTTCATCGAGGACATGACCGCGTGTCCGTGATTTAGCAAGCCCAATACCAGGAATCGTAAAAACTGAATCAACAAAATGGAATCAAACCATAAGTCAGTCTTTAATTTACACCTGCGATGTTTGTCCAATGTCTCCCTTCTAAAATAGCCCTCGTGAGCGTAAATAAGTAGATACGTATGAAAGTTTAATACAATACTTTAGTTTGACAGGTTTAAACAGGTCAAACGTAATTCAAAGGTAATTTAGCTCTCTGGGCGGCAGCTGCCCATTATCACAATCAAACAACAGACAGCAGCATTTCTAAACACCGGCCTTGACCAAGGTCATCCAGAGCTGAACAGGAGGTAATTTTCTCCATTTTAGCATCGAACAACTGTGAGTGCTCATTAAGACCTTTTCTTCTCTTTAGACAAATTACACAGCAATCAGTTGTGTGTATACAATCACTGCTGGAGTTTAAACCATGTCAGATCAGAGGAGCAGATGCAGCATGTCAATATGTCAGACTAAGACTGTTCTCCGTTCAGACACGGTGGTGGCTCCGAGTCATATGTAAACGTGAAGGCAGCTGGGAAATGTCACTTGATTGTTTGGTATTGAGATCCTAAACCCAAGGCAGTGAACAAATCCTATTAAGGACCCGACGACCACCAAAAACTCTCCTGGTGCCAATCCATCAAATAGATGCCCAGATATTTCATAGTGTGGTTAGTGGGGTGTAATTAATGTGACACAGGCTGAGAAGGATCCAGGAATAATTGGATTCTACTGTAATCAATAGCCAACCTACTGTATTAAAAGGAAATAAAGCCACTGCTGAAAACCTGTTCAGTTCAAGTTTAATAAGGTGTTCATAGTGTTAAATAAAAGGAAGTGAAAATTATTTTATATATATCCATGTGCATTCCAATGTGCATCATGGAAAGTCCAAATCACACAGAAAAGATATTAATAGATATCGAATTAAATCACTGTTTAAAAAACAACATGCAAATTCAATATATTAAGACCAAGAATCAACCAACAAATCCATTACTCACTGTAGGCATGTTCTTATTCTTGTGGCCCAGAAGTGGCCCCTGGACCAGGACTTGGAATCCCCTGTCTTACAGACTCCTTAAAATAAAATTCTCAGCATAACCAAACCATTGTGAGTTGTTTGAGCTACAGTAGAAAAGCCTAGCTGGACTTTATTCACTCTGGTTTTGAATCGCTGAAAACACAGCTATACACTGTTTTTGACAACCAGCACTGAAATGGTTGAAACTAGGGCAGTCATCAGAAGCGTCTAAACAATAAAAGTGGAACGTGGAGATGATACATTTGTGAGGCTAAATCTGTCTCGGCCTGAATTATGGGGAGGGATCCGTTCAATTGCAAAGCAATAAAGAGTTGTTATGACAAAACCCAGTTCACCTATAAACTAGATAAAGTACGCACAAGAGCTCTGCCCTCCACAAAGACTGTTACCCCTCCCACACAGTCTTTATCCGCCCCCCCCCCGTGCCAGATTAATGATTGCTCCACAACCATCTTAATTCCAGATCACCAACTCTTCTCACCTTTTCCTCCTTGAAGTGCTAACCTACATCCAAAGAACATTTCACCAAACTCCAATCCCCGACTTTTTGAGTTATGCTGCTCCAGACAGACAAGGCGACAGTGGTCAAAAACATTACCTTCATCCTTGGTGAAAGTAATGAGTCCCCTGACAAGCACAGGACATGGCAACGAAACACAGTAAAACGTCATGAGAATTTATGAGAAGTAATAGAATGTTTCCAAGTTGTACTCACTCACGCATATTTCCCAGCCCCCCGAGCAGGCCTGGAGCTCGCCCTAATGGCTGACACAGAAATGTGTGTGGTCTAGGTAACCTTGTGGGGACATTTTTGTTTTTTTGATAAAATAGTTTGTTGTGGGGACTCTTTGTCCTGATAGGGATATTTTTCAGGTCACCACTCAAAAAAGAAGGTATTTTGAGGTTTCTGATTTAGTTTGGAGTTAAGATTAGATTTAGAGCTGGGTTTGAAAAAGGATTAAGGACTCACCAGACTTTTCCATTCCAAGGCCCAAACAGCATTAGCTTAAGCCCGGGACCCCCTTTGTAAACCCACAGGCGATGCTATAAAATATGTTAAGAAACAACTTTAAAAATTAAAAAAATTCTTTCTTTTCGGTACGCGACGGAGGAGAAAATTGGGGGGGGGGCTTATTGACGAAAGAGAAGGAGAATCCAGCAGTTAGGCGGAAGGAGGTGAATTAATCCATGTTTACTGTACATGTTGTGCAAGGTGAACAAAATAGCCTAAAGAGGTGTATCCTTTCTGGTAACTCTGTTACATAATCTGACTGTTCTTGAGTTGTTAGTAGTAATTTTCACTACACTAACCGAACATTAGCTTTCATGTTTGTAGCAGTGATGCTGCAGTGATGAGTGGAGTTCTTTAACTCTTCAGAAATTTTCAGAAATTGTTAAGAGAATGCACTTCTGTCATTTTGATAATTGGCTTCCTTATGTTAGCAGCACTGTGGAGGTGAGAATCATGGAAGGAGAAAACAATTACAAAATTACAACCTGCAAATTCTGATGTAAAATGTAAAAAATACTCTGATGTACTTCTAAAGTACCTGATATTAGAAAATAACACTCTCACCAACCATAGTGTTACAAGGTGATTTTTCAGTGTCATTACATGCCCTGGGTCAACGACAGCAAAACAGAAATATTTTGCAATATTAATAGAGTTGCCTTAAGGCCCGGATTTTCTGGGAATGCTTTGGACTTATCGTGGATGTGTTGGTGTAACAAATTATACAGGTGGAAGAAAATACTTGGCATACCTTGAGAAAACCTATTAGCATGCCAAAGTAAAATTAAATGGTAATTTTTCATATAAAATTTTTATCA